TGTGCCTAAAAGGAAGGCATCACTGTTGTTAAAAATAAAAAGAATAAATTAATCCCCCAAAGAACCATTACTGGATGGCGGATGTGCATAGATTACTGAAAACTTAACAAGGCAACCACGAAAGATCACTTTTCGTTGCCCTTTATTGATGAAATGTTGGAGTGACTAGCGAATCACTCTTTATTTTGTTTTCTTGATGGGTATTCAGGTTATGACCAGATACCGATCTATCTAGATGACCAAAGCAAAACCACATTTACATGTCCATATGAAACTTATGCTTACCGTAGAATGTCTATTGGATTATGTAATGCTCCAACTTCTTTCCAAAGATACATGATGTCTATATTTTTGGATATGATTGAGAAAATCATGGAAGTTTTCGTGGATGATTTTTCTGTTTATAGAAAAACTTTTGATGATTGTCTTGAAAATTTAGACAAGGTTTTGCAAAGATGTGAAGAAAAGCATTTAGTCCTTAATTGGGAAAATTGTCATTTTATGGTAAGAGAAGGCATAGTGCTTGTACATTTAGTGTCCGAAAGAGGGATTGAGGTAAATAGAGCTAAAATTGAAGTAATTGAACAATTACCTCCTCCCGTAAATATCAGAGGGATCCGCAGTTTTCCTGGCCATGTGAGGTTTTACCGTCGTTTCATAAAAGATTTTTCACGTATTGCTAGACCATTTACAAATCTTTTGGCCAAGGATGTTCCCTTTGAATTTGATGATGTATGCTTGAAATCTTTTAACATTCTGAAGAAAACACTCATCTCTGCACCAATCATTTAACCCCCTGATTGGTCGCTATCTTTTGAAATTATGTGTGATACTAGTGATTATACTGTGGGGGCAGTTTTGGGACAAACTAAAGATAAAAAAGCATCATGCAATTGCTTATGCTAGCAAAACTTTGATAGGACCTCAGCTTAATTATGCAACAACTGAAAAAGAACTTCTGGCTATTGTTTTTGCTATTGATAAGTTTAGATCTTACTTAGTAGGAGCTAAGGTGATTGTTTATACTGATCATGCTGCTTTAAAATACTTACTCACTAAGAAAGATGCTAAACCTAGACTTATAAAATGTATTTTGTTACTCCAAGAATTTGATTTAGAAATAAAAGATAAAAAGGGAGTAGAAAATTCTATTGCGATCACTTGTCTAGAATGCAGTTTGTGAATTCGCAGGAACTGCCCATCAACGATTCGCTGTGGGACGACATGCTCTTCAAAGTCACAAAATCTGACTCCTGGTACGCAAATATTGTTAATTTTATGGTTGCAGGTTATGTACCACCAGGGGAGAACAAAAGGAAGCTCATCTACGAAAGTCATCTCCACATATGGGATGAACCATATCTCTTCAGAGTCTGCTCTGACAGCCTGCTCAGAAGATGTGTACAGGTGGAAGAAGGCACCAAGATCATTGAGCGATGCCACTCATCACCATATGGAGGACATTATGGCGCATTCCGCACTCATTCAAAGATCTAGCAAAGTGGATTCTTCTAGCCAACCATGTATGAAGATACGAAGGACTTCGTCAGGAGGTGTGGAGCATGTCAGAGGCACGGGAACATTAATTCAAGAGATGCCATGCCACTCACCACCAACCTCCAGATAGAGCTCTTCGATGTCTGGGGAATCGACTACATGGGACCGTTTCCAAAGTCAAGGAACTGTGAATACATCTTGGTGGCAGTTGACTATGTCTCCAAGTGGGTTGAAGCCATGCCATGCAGAACTGCTGATGCTAAGAACTCCAAGAAAATGTTTGAAGAAACAATATTTCCACGATTCGGAGTTCCGAGAATGGTGATTAGTGATGGAGGCACTCACTTCACTGACAAGAACTTTCATAACTACTTGTCAAAACATGGGATCTGTCACAATGTCACTACTCCATACCACCCTTAGATAAGTGGCCAAGCAGAAACATCGAACAAACAAATCAATAATATTCTGTAGAAGACAGACAATGAGATGGGGATTCATTGAAAGGATAGACTACCCGATGCATTATGGGCTTACAAAACAGCCTATAAAACATCACTTGGGATGTCACCATACTAACTTGTCTATGGAAAGACCTGTCATGTACCTATTGAGCTAGAATTCAAGGCTCACTGGCTATTAAACGATGGAACATGGACTTTGAAGCTACCGGAACCAAGAGGAAGATGCAACTCTCCGAGCTTGATGAATGGCGTGAAAAAGCATATCACAACACCAAAATATACAAGGAGAGGACAAAAAAATGGCATGACAAGAGGATTAAGAAGAAGGAGTTCGCCCCCAGAGATATGGTATTACTTTTTAATTCCAGGGTCAAATTATTCGGGCACGGGAAACTTCAAAGCAAATGGGAATGACCATTCAAGGTGATAAACACCTCGTCGCATGGAGCGGCAACACTTCAAAACGACGAAGGTACGTTATTTAAGGTAAATGGCCACCATTTCAAAATCTTTCTAGAACCTGAAAAACCACCTGAGGATTTGGATGAGGTAGATTTTCTGATTTTACCAAATATTTACACCACTGCTCTTTACCAGAGCTCCGGTGTCCCCAACCACGGGCAGCTCTGGCCTCTGCATCCTCTCCGGCATGGTCTCCATCCCCATGTAGGACAGGAGGAGCCAGACGGTAGGAGAGGTACTCGCTGCCGTTGCCCAGGCTCTTGGCGTGCAGGTACCCTCGGCACCTGCCAGCGGAGAAGCAGAGCATCTCCACCCACACACCCTGGATCACCGCCCACATCTTATCATCCGTGTGCTCTCTTGCTCGAATCTTGAGCAGCTCCTCCTCTTTGGTCATAAGATTCCTATCCATGAGCTTCGTGAGCTGCTTTTGCTTCTTCGTCTCCTCTTCCAACTTATCGTTGATCTCCTTGATGACCGCCTGTGCACTCCTAGAGAAATCGTCCAGCATTTGCTTTTTCTTCCTCTCCTCTTCTTTCTCCTTCCCCTTCTCCTTCTCTTCCCCCATGGCCTTCGAGCTCATTTCCTCTGCCTCCTTTTGTCCCATCTTGATGAGCTCCGCTGCCTTATTTTCCTCGTTCTTGATGAACTCCTGTGCCTTGTTCCCGGCGTATTCCAAGAGCTTCTCCTCCTCTCCCACCTGCTCAATGACCTCCTCAACCTTCTTGGTGAACTCCTTGACCGCTTCCACCGTCTTCTCCTCTTCCTTGATGAACTCCTCTGCCATCTTCTTGGCAGATTCCAAGAGGTCCGTAATCTTCTCCTCCTCCTTCGTTTGCTTCTTTTTTTCTCCTCGCTGATGCACTTCTCAGCATAGCTGATGAAGTTCTTTGCCTCGATGATGAACTCCACTGCCATCTCTTTGAAAGTCTTCTTGCCGCCCTCAGTGAGAGTGAATTGGTCTGCCTTGTTGTTGTTATCGACGTCGTCGATGAGTTGGCCTGCCTTCTCATTGGCAGAACGCACGACCGCCCTTAGAGCATCTCCAAGAGTTCCCTAAATATTTCTTCTAAAAAGTCTATGTTTATCAACTCCTAAAAAGGTTTTAGAAGAAAAAAAGAAGTTCATCTCCAATAGTTCATAATATTTGACTTCTAAAAATTAAATGCGGGTCCCATTTGACCTTTTTTCTGCAGTCTTTTTTTTCCACGCGAACCTCTTCGTCGCCGCGCGTATCCACGCCACCGCTGCCTGCTGCTGCTCTTCCTCCCTTCGCTCCTACTCTTCCCTGCGGCACGCCGCCGCCGCCGCCTCCCAGTCCCAGCGCCGCCGTGTACCCTGTTGTGCTGGTGCCAGGAAACACCTGCAGCCAGCTCGAGGTGCGCCTCACGGACGCGTATGAGCTGCCCCCGGAGTCGCCGCAATGTGGCGCGGGCAGCAACGAGCGCAACCGGTGGTTCCGGCTGTGGAGGAACGCCACGGCCATGGACGACCCCGCCGTCGCGCCGTGCCTCTCCGACCAGCTCCGCGTCGTCTATGACCCCGCTGCCCGCGACTTCCGAGCCAAGGTACCGGGCGAGGACCTCGAGCAGCGGCGCTAGCGTCAGTGCCGGCGGCGAACAGGAAGGCGCAGAAGAAAGGCTTGGCCGCCGGGACAGGAGGGGGGCGTCCAATGCACGAGCACACCCGTGCCAGGGCGTGGGACTGGGAGGCGACGGTGCGCAAGGTGCAGCATCTGCAGCCTGTGGGCAGGCGCCGGGTATCCCCGATGTTGGCCTCGGACGACTCCGAGACGGCATCCTCCTCGGCGTCGTCATCCTCGTCGACTGGCGGCGACGACTGCGAGCATGTGCACGGCTACGTGGAGCGCGGCCTCCCCAACGGTGACTTCTACACGGGCCAGTGGCGCGGCGGCGCGCCACACGGGGCCGGCAAGTACGTGTGGACCGTCGGGTGCATGTACGAGGGGGAGTGGCGGCATGGCAAGGCCACGGGGCGGGGCAAGTTCTCCTGGCCGTCGGGCGCCACCTACGAGGGCGAGTTCAAGGACGGGTTCATGGATGGCTCCGGCACCTACACCGGCACCGCCGGGCCCGGTCCAGGAACCTCAAGCACGGCAGTGGGAAGGACTCCGCGGGAACGGCGTCTCTAAGTGTGGCTTCGTCCGCGTAAAGTTACGCGGAAGGAGGAGGAATTTTCCAAGTCCTAAAAGATTAGGAGTAAATATTAGTAGTTGTTGGAGATTTTTTTTTCTCATTTTTCTAAAAAATATGGATTAGGAGGATGTTTAGGGAACTCTAGATGAATTTCCACTTCTCGATGAACTCCTTTTTCTTCTCCTTGGCAATTGGCAAATTCCTTCAGCTCGTTGGCGACCGCCCAGGCTTTGTGAACAACATTTTCCGAGCCGAGACCGATGGTACTTTTCACCTTCTGGATCACCTTCCGCACCATCTCGTTCTCGGACCTTGGTGGAGGCGCTTTCTTCTCCGTCGGCTCTAGCTCCGCCTCCGCTAGCTCATCCTCTGGCGGCGGCTTGAGCATCTTCCTGAGCTCGTGGTAGGTTGCCCTAAAGAGCTAGCTCCTGACACCGGGGATCAGCATCTCCGGCTCGACGAACAGCAGGTACGCCATGTAGTTGGACACCATCCTGCTGTGGCGGATGGCGTCGTGGCCGGTGTCCACGTGGTCGAAGTAGCAGAACTCCGTGGCGAGGTGCCAGAGCAGGACGCTCTCGTGGAAGGGCATCCGCAGGCTCTCCTCGATGGCCTTCCGAATCCGATCGCGGTCGCGGCATCCCTCCCTCTGCAGAGTCCACTGGCCGCGGCTGTCGTTGAACCGCCGGTAGGCTCCCACACCGTCGGTTGGAGTGCGTTCGCCGGCGGCATCGTCGCACTTGTACAAAGATTTTGATATGTAATCCTTCCACCCACCGGCGACGTGGTCGTAGACGAGCCTGGTGATGCCGACGGACGGCTGGGGCGGTGCCGTGCAGCAGAGCCTGTCCAGGAGGACCCTGGCTCCCAGCAGGCGGGGGAGCGCCCAGAACCACGGGTGCTTCTCGTTGCGGGCGAGGTAGCCGACGAGGTTGTACTGGGCGAGCTTGTCGTCGGGCCGCGGCAGGCCCGACGCCAGCACCAGGCACGCCGAGACGAACTCCAGCGCGGCGGTGCAGCCGAGCTGGACGTAGGTGACGACGACGTCGGCGCGGTCGTACGCGCCACGGTGCCTCCTCTGGAACAGCCTGATGACCACGAGCGTCACCAGCGTGACGGCGGCGCGCAGCAGGTCGTGCACATCGGCTGACTCGGCTCTCGCGGAGCGCGGCGCCACGAGCCCCAGGTTCCGGAGCCGGATGGAGTAGGGGTGGCCGCGGTCCACGAAGAGGTGGTACGGCTGGTCGGCCAAATCGTCCTCCACAGGCTGGGTCACCGGGTTGGCGACGGTCTCGGCTGCGGCCTGCACGTACTTCTCCTGCGAGTTGATGTCCTTCTCCTTCTGCTGCGCGTCGTCTTCGTCGAGGGTTGCTTCTTCCAGCTGTGAATCGGAGGAGTTCATGATGCTCGCCACCGTCGCGTTCTTGAGAGCCCATGGCTTCTCCAGGCACTTGAGGATCCCGGGGACGAAGAGCAGGATTGCTGCTCGCGGTAGGATCATGTCACCTGACCATCATGACTTTGCGGGAAAACGTGAGATGGCGATGGTGATCTGGCACATGCATGCATAGGCAAATGTGAGTCATAAACCATGACTACAGAAAACGCCTTCTTGCCGAATCGCTTGCCCGGTCGGCAAAGGCATAAACCCAGTCGGCAAAGGCTTTGCCGACCGCAGCCACGCGGCGGTCGGCAAAGAGCAATCGGCAAAGCCTGGGTCGGCAAAAGCGGATTTGCCGACCGCCACGCGGCACACAATCGGCAAATCCTTTTGCCAACCGCCACGCCAGCCAATGGCATAAGATAGTTACGGCGCGCCGTCGACCGACGGCGAAGCTTTTGCCGATCGCTGGTTCTCGGCGATCGGCAAAGAATTATTTTTCAAAAATTGTTTGCCGATCGCCGCCACTTCGGCGATCGGCAAAGAAAGAAATTTTTTTTGAAATGTTCTTGCCGATCGCTTTCGAGTTGCATCGGCAAAAGATTCTTCTGAGAGTTTTGCCCGACTTTTGCCGACTATAAACAATCGACAAAAGCTGAAATTTTTTTCTTTGCCGATTTGCTTTCGGAGTTGCAATCGGCAAAAGATTCTTCCTGGTTTTTTTACCTTTGCTTCGATCAGAAATAAATCGGCAAAGCTAGATTTTTTTTTTTTTTTGTTTTCTATTTTCTCGCATCAAAACCCCGCAAAATCACAAATTATAATCCAATTTCATCGTAAGCACCGTAGCACCATTTATATCACAATTTCATCACATTTGTCGCCAACATCACCACATATATCACAATAACGCACAACATCACATATATGTCACAATAACAACCACACAAGTGCATTACAACCATCACATGAAGTCCAACACGTCGAACACCACAAGTCGACGTCCATCACACGAAGTTCAACATAACAAGTCTAGGTCCATAACGAAGAAAAGAAATACATGACAACAACTTCGACGATACGGTGGATACATGATAACAGAATCGACAAGTACCTAGCTCGTCGCGCCGTCCCCGGTCTCGTCGTCCGCTCCGCCCCAGAGCCCCTGTGGTTTGCCCACGAAACCCCTTGGACCAAATCGAGGCGCGCCATACAGTCTTGCCACCTCCGCGCGACCCCGCCACGAGTACGTCGAGGAGGGCCACGCGGAGGTGGATACGGTGGATAGGGTGCGGTGGTGGATACGACATCATCGATGGCCGGGACCTCCAGAGACGGGTTCGAACCCGCCAATCGCACTGCATAAGTTAAACGCCAAGTGATGTCATTAGTATCTGCAGCATGGACGCACAAGTTAAAGCAAGAGTCAATATACTCACCGGGGTCCTCCAGGAGCGGCCGGGGAGCGGGCACAGGAAAAAACTCGGAGGAGGAGGCGGTGGAGCGAACATTGGAAGAGGAGGCGGTGTAGACGCCCGGGCGTCTGCATGGACCGGAAGAAGCTGGCCATGTTCTTGCATCTGAGTGTTGTAGTGCTTTGCTGCGCAGCTTTGCCGGTAAGCCATCTGCGCGCCATCATCTCGCGCGTGCAACGTGGCGATCCTCTCCTCCATCTTGGCCTCCATCTGGGCTGCAATATTACATCCGCAGTGTTGATTGTATGTACAGGTCTGCGAACGAGTGAACGACGAACGAAACGGCACTTACTCGTGACGCCGACCGCCGCCGGGCGCTACGGGGATGTCATTTGGAGCTCGTGGGCGTGGATCGAACCTCGGGTCGGCCAGAGGAACTCGGGACGGGTCGAGGGCGCCAGGGCCATGTAGTAGCGGTCGTCGTTTGCTTCCACCCCAACCTCTGCAGGAGGTCAGTGTCGAGGGGCTCGGCGGTGGTCGAACGTCTCCCGTAAGCGCCGGGCGAGCCGCGACGGTGTACTCGGTGGCCTTCTCGTGGCGGTGGGGTTGGTGTACGCGCCGGGCCCGTCCTCCGGGTTGTAGACGTTGTTCGGATCCGTCGCCTTGCCCTTGTGAGAGAGAGGTACGCGGTGTACTCGTTGATTTCCACCCGCCGTGCGTCTGCGGCTCGCATTGAAAACACAAACATGGTTACAAGTATTGACAATTGAGCGCAAGGATTAAGACATGAACGGATGCATACCCATCTTGTCGCGAATCGGGAGGGGTCTGATTCCCTTGGTGGTGTGACACCCTCGCATCTGCTGCATGTTCTCGACGGTCGGCGGCGCCTCGCAGACGCTTCATCAAAGGCGCCACATGCGCACAATCTCCGTCTAGCATTCCACATGGTTGTCGCACCACGGACGGACACACCGCATGACATCAAGTATTTGACATGCGAGAAGATTAGTGTAATGTTTCACCGAAGGAATCTGAACGAATGTTGTCATATAATTAATTACCTTTCAGATGCGCTTGGGTGAGGTCGGCCTCCCTCGAGTTCATTCTCCGGCGGATTTGGGGCTTCTTGATGTTCTCTCCAAGCACGTTAGCGTGGAAGTCGCGGATGGCTTTGTGTCGCGCCTCATGGTACAGTCCTTGAGACGATCTTTGCGCACCGCCTCGTGACTCGCGCCACTTTAGGCCGCGCTTTACCCTCCTCGCACGCGTGAAGAAGTCCTGCATTTGCACACACATCATGTAGCATTTCCTTTTTGCAAGAAGTCCGACGAATGCGTACTATTTAGCAATGCGGTGCGATGAAAGACTCACCCAAAACTCCCTCTTTATCTTTGCCGCGATGGTCTCGCCACCCTCCTCGACGAGGTAGAAGTGGGACCACTTGGTGGGCACCTTCATCTCGCCGCTGACGTTGACAAGGCTGTGGTAGTACTCCTTAATCGAGGCCACGGATGCCATTGATATGGCGTGCTTGACCTGCTCCACTCACAATCTTCCAGGAACTGCACGAGTCATTAAGAATAATTGTTAGTCTTCAGTTCGATTTTTGACATGTCATATGAACAAGTAGTGAAATCAATAATGGTTACTACGTCGTGCCCACGGTGTGATCACCGGCGCCGGTGGAATTGCGGCCGCACCCTAGGAAGCTGCGTGGGCCCGCGCGAAGTACACCTTGGCCGCGCTGACGAAGTCGAGCCATCTCTGCTTTGGTGTAGGCGCGTCGTCGCCGTCGTCGTCGTCGTCGTCGTCGTCGCCGCCGCCGCTGTCGTCACGCCGACGTCGTCCCCCCTGCGAGGACGAGAACGACAGACCTCTGTCGCTGGCGATGATGTCCGGCCGGGGCTGGGACCCCTCCTCTTGGACGACCAGCGCACCAACACCTCCTCCTCCTCCTCGCGTCGTCGTGGCGGTCTCTCTGCGGGGACTTCAATGCGCCGAAGCGTCTTCTTCGATCTGACGCCATTGCCGCCGTCTTCGCTCGACATTTTGCCGAGTGCTCGCAATGACAAAGAACAAAAGCTGTTAGCATAAATAAATGACAAGTACTTGTAAAGGAACATAATAATAACAATATAGTATTACATGGCCTCGTAATTATCTCCGCGAACGGCAATATCTCGGGCGTGGAGTCATCATCTCTATCACTATCGCCGTCATCGCTATCAATATTGTCGAGCTCCCTTAAGTCATCACCATCATCATCATCCTCATCGCTCCATAGTCATCATCATGTACCTCCTCCTCGGACAACTCCATCGCGCTGCATCTGCCATCGCTCAAGCATTCTTAAGTCCCTGGCATCCTGCACCTCCTCACCCTCGTCCTCATCGATTTCGTTGTCTACTTCCATGCCCATGAGTGAACCAATGTCGATCTCCAAGGTACCTTCTAGCCCCTCGTGTTGATAGAACTCATCGGTGCTTGGGTCAAAGTTGTAATCGCTGCGCTTTGGGAGGCGCTGCTTGCCAAGGCGACACCAAATGCACAAGGCTCCACCCCGCAAGCTTCTCGTCTTTTTTTGCACGCCCATGGGAGGTAATAAACTTGCGTGGTGTCTCGGTTGGCCACAATGTAGACATCGTCTCCTTTATAGCTAGAGTCCCGTCGAATCTCGACTTGACCTATCGTAAGGTCTTTCCTCGTGATATCGGGATCGAACCAATGGCATTTGAATACCATCGGCGCTAAAGTCCGGCACCCTTAAAGTTGAGCTCAGTATATCTCTTCGACTATGCCGTAGTAGTCCTTCCCATCTGTCTTGCCGGTGTACGAACTCCGCAACACATGGTTTTTAGGTTGGGTCGACTCTCCTCGTAGCTTCTCGTGCGGCGATAGCCATTCACATCATAAGCGGTGAATGACTTCACCCTACGGGGAAGCCACCACGCCCACCTGTTTCAATTCATCGCTCATTTACGCATCCGTTCGGGCTGCAAGGGTAGGAGATCGTTACATAACTCGCTCCGGGAGCAAAGTGGAATCACAAAAGTCGAAAAGAGGTTAGTTGGTTGGTACCTTTAGATGCAGAACCGAGGAGATGAAATCGGGCACACCGTGTCTAAGAAGATTGTCTTCTTCTTGCTCGGTAGGAGCCCTATTGCCTCTCCAAAGATTGACTAATAAATTCCCTAAAAGAAGGAAGAAACTAGAGGGTCGGACCATGATAGATGGAGGATAGTGACGGCGTAGGTAACAAGCTCATTGAGAACTTACTTCTGATAAGGAATCACTTCATCAAGGTTGATCAACAATGTGAACATGATAGTCCGCCACTCCCGATGGTTCAACCGCTTGTTGGTACTGCGCTTCCACTCCCCGAGATCCCCTTGGAAAAGGCCGAGTATCGATGAGTTCTCGTCGGCGTTATAACGGGGTTGGATTGTGCATGCTTCTGAAGCTTCTCGAATATAGCACGCCAGTGAAGGTCGACACCTCCTCTAGAACGGAGGCCTCTCCCACGGAAGCCTCAATCTTGGCTTTATTTCTACAATTTTTCCGAAGAAGCTTTAGACACCTCTTGATTGGATAGCACCAACGGCTGCAGGACCCCCCCCAACCGTGCCTCATGCGGTAGGTGCAAGATCGATCTTGCATGGACGTAAAAGAAGCCGGGTGGAAATATCATCTCCAACTTGCAGA